CATGTAATCGACTACTGTCTTCGCGAGGCTATTTAGATATACCAGGGAGATCTGGAGAAATTCAGGTGCATCAGCGAGACTAGAAACCATAGCCGATGACACCCCTCTAGCCATCGAAGTTAGTGCAGGGGATCCTGGCGCCGAAGCTGCGGAAGCGGTAGAAATATTCAATTGTGAAGGGCTTGAGGTTAAAGCCATCATCGCCCTTGCTTGAGATGTGCTTGGCTGTGCCTCTGTTGGAGTAAGCGAGATCTTCAGCAATGCAGTAGGCGAAGCAGCTACAGTAGTCTCAGGCAACACTACAGGTGTAGGCTGCTCTTGCACAGGAGCCAACACCGGCACGAGCTGCTGCTCCGGAGGAGGAGTTGCGACAGTAGTTTCAGGCAACGCTACAGGTGGAACAGTTGCCGTAGGAGAGCCACGTAAATGTTGCTCTTCTAAAGGAGCCGACTGCTCTGAAGTAGTAGCAGCAGTGGTCCCTGGAGAAGGTGAACCTGCACGGAAAAAGGGTCAGAACGCAGAAAACACATGCGGAAGAAGTCGAAGGAAACTAGACTTACCGGAGATGTGAAAAGGAGTATAACCAGATACTTTATCGGATGGGACCTTGGGAGCATCATCATCAAAAGTGGTGACGTCATCGATGGAATCATGCTCATCGTCATCTTCACCATCACCTGACATGTTGCCAACGTCAGCATCCTCATCGCCTCTATTTCCGTCAGCTGCATCACCAATTAGGGGGTCGTCATAATCAACTCTCTCCTCATCATCCCGAACAGCTGAAGACTCCGGAGGACTTGCACCAGCAGCTGGTCTTTTCATAAGTCCCGTTGTAGGACTAGGCATTAAATCACCAGCTTGTGACATTAATGCTGAAGGAGAAGGAGGTGGATTATCTTCAAGACCCCCTGGTTCCAATGCAGGAGACCTAGGAAGATCCATCACCGGAGCAGACTCTGCATCTGCAACCAATAATTCGTCCTCTTGGTCCTCAGGAGGATGGTAAGAAGAGGCTTCGCCCGATAAAGCTGGGCCGTGAGAACGAAGTCCAGCTCTATGTGGCAGGCCCGCCACGGACGATTCTTGTTGTTCTTCATTTACAGCAGCTTTGATGCTCAGCCATCAACATGGATTTTTGCTGTCCTTTGGAGGGAGAATCCACCAGAAGTTTCCGACGAATTTGCTTATCATATTTGCCGGCCTCATCTGCAGAGAGTTTTCTTTTCCCCGCCGCTCTTGTCACGGGAGGATCAACCACTCGTTGCTCTTCCCCTGG